TAAAAAAGAAAAAGAGGACGATCCTGGGAAACCCAGGACAAGTGACAACCCAAGGCCCACCACTGTTCAAATGTCATCACGGAGCAATGCTTTAGTTTTTTTCTCTGCAACTGCGTTTGAAAAATGCAATAATCTTCAGTTATATAGGGCTGTATAAAAAAAAATGTTCATAATAAAAGGTTTTTTGGGTGAGATCGCGTTATTTATAAATGTGTCGCAACCCTCCACCACCCGACACTATTTTAGTCCACCGGTGTGTTGAAAAGTGAATCCACAACATTTACCATTTGAGTACGGCGTTTCACTGGAAATTACATCCAGCATCTTCGGGCGATTTGTCAAAATAGTGAAACCATCCACCTGCTTCCGGTCTTAAATAGTACAGGATGACGTCATCATTGTTGAACCCCATAAGGATTCGAGATCAGAGGCGGGGGTGTATGCAAATATGTAATAGATCAGTAATCAGCCACTTAGCATGTGACTCACCTGTAAGGAATTGCAATATGTGTTGTGTATTACGTAATAATACGCTTCCAGGCTGCGCTGAGTTTATAGCTATCACAGCGGTTGAAATTATTTGAATTCTTCTCAATTTCAATTGATTCTCTAACTAATATTGGCTAGTAATAAGAGTTCTGCATAACACTTCAACGTTATCAAAATCAATTGAATGTCTTTGGCAAGCATGCTCTGCCACTGCTGACAGCTGTGTTTGGGAGAATGTAATGATCCATTGGTGTTCTTTTAGTCTTACGCTAATGTTACTGTCCAATATAACACTTACCGCATAAGCAATTGCTCCGATATACTCCTTCTGTTGATCACTTCGGTATTTCATCTTTAGTACAAGACACTCGTTTTTTTGTGTACCGTACAACATCTCACTTTAATGTTTTGCTTTTGCAAAACCTGGGCTAATTTGTGAGTAACTCCGGAGATATATGGTATTTTATTTGTTTTGATAATCTGATCACTTTCAGCAGTATTGTTGTTCGATACCGATTTGGCATTCAATGCTCTGTTAATTTGAGCATTATTGTAGCCATTCAGTCTTAGTGCTTCTTTAACATGTTTAATCTCTTTCCTTAAACTTTCACCATCTGACACTGTCTTTGCCCGATGTTTGAGCGTCTTTGTTATTGATTTACTTCGCTATCGTTTCATCTCAAGCTTGTAGGCATTGTTGGCTTATCCTGGTCATGCTTTCATGGGATTGTATCGCTGGAGTGTGAGAGATGCTCCCCAACGCTTATCGCAGCTCACCAGCCCGCACTAAAGTTGGGATTGTGCTCTGCGATGTCAATTTGTGGACTAAATTGCTCCGTTGTAATAACTTGTTTGTTGTTGTTGTTTATGCCTTTTGTATTCATGCCATTATTTTATTTGCTTAATAATTTTACGAGGATTTCCATTTACTTAATAATTGTTATAAATAGGATTTAGCCCTCCCTATATAATTAGTGTACAGCGTCGTGAGCTGCAATTGGCTCGAATGACGTTGTACCAAATAATACAATGATTATTATTATGACACGGATGAGGGTCAATTAGGTCATCATTGATCTCGGCTCGTTTGGAGGTGGACGTTGTGGCTCAGAGGGTAAAGTGCTGAGCCGGCACCGCTGATATTTGGAGCTCGAGTCAGATCAGCTGCCTGTAATTAAACTTGGGATCTCAAACGTAGCGAGTCGATTGTGTCAGCCTGGTTGTCAATTTGGTTTTGAAGTCAATTTGAACCAATTTGAGCTCTGAAAATTAAGAATATCGGTTTCACTCATGCGGACGAACATTGTCCTTGGTTGGAGAGCGGGCGTGAACGTACTGCCACCTACTGTGAGTAATGTTTGTGGCATGACCGTCAAATTCCGCCAAATTACGTGCAAATACCATTTTAATACGATGGTTGTTTGTTCAGTCGTTGGTAACTGGGCGGAGACCATCAACTCACTACACTCGAGACCCCAATTCATTCACAGATGTCTGCCGGGATTCAAACTCAGGGACTAATATAGATTGTAAATATGGTCTGTAAGTCCTGGAAAATAGAAAAACTGGGTATAAATACAATTATATGTTCGCATAAATGTGGGTTCCCGAACATCATTGCCGAATGTTGATTAATTTCACTCTTAAATTAGCCCAAAGTTTAACATTGATATCCGTCTAATGCAAAACACTTGCACAAAATATCCTCATTGTCAGTGTAGCACTAAAATCACCTCTCGTGGAGTCTCACACCAACCCCAACCGAAAGCAGACAGAGCCCTTTACCGGGCACTTTTATCGTCTATAATATATACAACATTGGTTCTGGCAGGCGGAGTGTTTACCGTCGGTGTGCACAGTGCGGGTGATAAGCAGCAGCGAAAACAAAAGAAACGTGATGCAGTGACCCGATTACTGTAATCGCACCTCAGCTGAGCCAGAATTGCCTGTCCATGACCGCCTTGCTTTGAGGTGCCCTGGGCATCTCTCAGCGGGGCAGGCTTGTTATCCGGTGCCGGAATGTTCGCGCTACGCTATGAAAGTATAAACCGTGTCGCGGATTAAGGCATCAAGGGGGGACCCTGGCGCAACGGGTGCAAGCTCAAGGGGCCCCGCGTGAGTGGCCTTCACACGGACCCCCTTAAATTTCGATTTAAAGCTTTCGTGACTGCAGGAATTCATCTTCTTGGTTCTTTCGGTAAAGTCACGTAGAAGGGAAGTAATAAAATAATAATTATTTTATTATGTTTTATTTTTATTATTGTATTACTTCCCTTCTACGTGACTTTACCGAAAGAACCAAGAAGAAGGACCCCCTTCCTTAGAAGACGCATGGGGGCCTCCAAGCGGTCGCGCAAATTCATCGGTCAGCACCATTGTTCATGGAGACTTTGAGAAGTGCCCAGGAGAGGCGGCTTATTAAAGTGTCGGGTTCGTGTTGTGCGAAACGATAGATGGTATGAAAACGGAGAAGAAAACGCGCGTGGAAACGCAAGCGAAGGAAAAACACATTGTTGCAACAGGAATCAACTTAAGGATAGAATGGGGAGATAAAAAACAACTACTGGCATAGAAATATAATAACGCTTGAAACACCAATGGAAGTAGCCCAATAATTATATCGCATGATGGTCTATGATAGCGGTGCCCAATTTTTTCGAGTGTGCGAAACTCCTTTCAACCTCCAAACATGGTGTGGACCACCATATGCTACTACTGTAGTTGTTTTTTAAAACTCTGTTATATGTGGAAATCGAACGAAATAACACCGAAATAATATGCACTCAGTAATAATTTGTAATGCACACACCTGAAATTGTGAAATTCGTATGCATTACCTCGACAAATGCACTTGTGAAGCGTAGCAATATATGTACGAGAACGTATTTATATTGGGGAACTTAATGAGATGGATGGTGCTGTTTCGCTGACTTCAAGGACAGGGTGTCAGGTTAGAGCGACGACAGTTTTAGCCTTAAATATGATTCCACATCTAGCCTACTTTCGGCACACTGATTTTAATGCAACAAGCGTGGAAAATCCATTTTCACGCACACACACACACATACGTGTACTGTGGCAAAAGAGCATCAGCTACTTCCCTGCCTTGTCGGACAATTCTGAGTACTTTGAAAGCAACGTGTAGCCAGAAGCCGGTCATGTACTTTTGTGTGAAGACCAGCTTCAAAGAGTTGTCACACGAAAGTTCAGTTCGGCTGTCTTGCTCTTGTGTGTCCGCATCACACCCCCCTCCCCCCACCTCAAAAAAACCTCCAATAATTAAAAACAATGCTATATCAGCATACTTGTAAAATAAATAACATTAGTAGGTCCATATTCTGTGGTTCTTTCGGTAAAGTCACGTAGATAGAAAATAAAAAAAATTACAAAATTAAAAATTAAAAGAATACATTCAAAATAATAAAAGCAAAAAAACCCCACGGCCTTTCGATCGCAACACAAGCGGTCTTCATCAGGCGGACCGCTTCTATGAATTCCTGCAGTCACGAAAGTTAAGTCAAAATTTAACAGTAGTATGGATTTCGATTTAAAGCTTTCGTGACTGTAGGGATTCATCTTCTTGGTTCTTTCGGTAAAGTCACGTAGAAGGGAGATAATAAAATAAAATAAAAAATACGTAGATGAAAAAAAAATAACTCAATTAAATCACGAGGTTTCGGAGGCAACACAAGCTTCCGTCATCAGGTGGAAGAGCCACAGCAAAATTACAGTAGTTTTCACCTGATGACGGAAGCTTGTGTTGCCTCCGAAACGTCGTGATTTAATTTACTTATTTTCTTTGTATTATTATTTTTCTTTTTCATCTACGTGACTTTACCGAAAGAACCAAAGAGTATGGATCCTTGCAGTCACGAAAACTTCAAATCTAGAATCTGAAATTGTATGTTTCCATGGCGAGGATGTTATTATTATATTTTTCGCGGTCCAGTTGTAGTAGCCTCGCTAACCGCCAGGGGGCCACGGACCACAGGTTGGGAACCGCTGCTCTCTGCACCCGTGAGATTAGATTTCAACTGTTTGGAAGTAGCTTTGTTCGAATTTGACATCGCGACAATTCATTAGGATCGCTTTCTCTTGAACATGTGCGCTAATGCAATGGGAGAACGATTTAATTTCCGTGACACCGTTGACAGTTGCTGCCCCAACGGTCTGGAACGCATATTCTTAGGTTTTTTCGGTAAAGTCACGTAGGTAAAAACATTAAAAAGTAAAATAAAATAAAAATCACGACGTTTCGGAGGCAACACAAGCTTCCGTCTTCAGGTGGTACCGTCACAGCCACGACAGCTGTATCAAGTAAATTTGCCTCCGAAACGTCGTGATTTTTATTTTATTTTACTTTTTAATGTTTTTACCTACGTGACTTTACCGAAAAAACCTAAGAATATGAATCATTGCAGTCACGAAAGCTTCAGGTCTGGAATGCCATCCCTCTGCACATTCGCAGCATCACCTCAATCGCCTCCTTCAAGAGACACTTTAAAACTCACCTCTACAGCCACGAGCTTTCGAGTGACTCTGAGCTTGGCTCCGCGCCTCTGAGTTGCCGCCGTTACGTCCGCAAATTTGCGCGCGTTATAAATTGCATTATTATTGTTGACTCACATTCCACTGAGCTGATTGATACATTATACAAATGCAGTGAAGCGTCTGATGCAGTCTGTGTCAAAGATAATACTGCGATAATTTATGGTGGGAAAAATCCAGTAAAAAGCTATCAACAGGAAAATGCTAAAAACGGAATGTGTAAAATCTAGTTTAAATATTATTGGATGTTGTGGTACGTTTGGAAAGGCTCGTGGGTGGATTGGCTCGAAAACGAGTAGAATTATAGTTAATCCCAACCTGTCTCTTTGGGGACTTCAGGATGTTATTAAAGAGCAGTCAGAAAGGTGATGCAGGAATAAGATAGATAACACTATCCTGGAGCCACCTGGTAAAAATTGTGTTTATTTTTCTAATAAAAATGTGGTTTATAGCGCAATAGACACGTGGGAATGAACGTTAAGTTGTGATGCCAGTTGGCACGTCCATAGAAATCTGGAAAACTTTCGAAGTCGTCTTTTAATCATGCACAAAAAGGAGATTTTTTTATGAATGGGAAAATGTAAAGACACGGAAGAGCCTGGCTAAACATACCGCTTGTAAAACGGTTTTATGAAAGCCAAAGTCGTGCTGCATGAGTTTGAATCACAACAGCTCTCCGATGTATTTTCAGGCTGGGTTTTTTTTTTCTGCACGATGTTGCCAGCAACTGAAGATGAAGCTCCCAGCATGATGAGCGAAACGTCAGACATCACGCCAAAACCACCCGCGGTAACAACCCGCAAACACACCAAGACAGCCGTACGGCACAACTGCGCAAAATCCACACAGTAGCATTGATCCACGATTCTCTTTTATACGGAGGTGACATTAACTCTGCTTTCCAATGCCACGTGAGATGGCATCTGTAGCCCTAACGAATGCCAGTCGCCCCTCAGATGCACGTGGTGTCTCTGCGTGAGAGAGACACACACAGGGCTCTGTTTCTTCCAGAGTACACGCCTGCTTTGATTTACTGCGAGTGGCAGGCGTGTGTTTTTGATCGCAGCCTCAACAGGAATGCTTATAGCATGGATTTGTATTATTCAAGGCTTATGGAATACATTTTTTAAATGGTTATATTCGGAATTGTCATTAATCAAAACTGGCTTGGCTCGTAACTTGGACTGAAGAAAATGATGTGCTGTGTTTAATAAACTACTCATTCGAGTGAATGTGCCTGCTTTTTCTAGTTGCCTTCCAGGCTGCTAAAAAAACAAACCTGAGCACATCGCTAGGCATCGCTGCCATCAAGTACTGGACACGCTGTCCATCATCCTGAATAGTCTCTTAGAAGCAAATTTTAATACAATTACAGCAAACTAATACACAAGGTAACAAAAAAAGAAACTCGGGGGGGGGGGGGGGCGTGCGATGCTCAGATACGATTCGCTAGTGTGGAAACAATGTGCAACGTGCACGTAGACAGAAGGAGACCTTGATAACCGTACGCGCCTCTGCTCGATGTCACGTACGATAAAAAAAAAGAACCCCTCAAAAATGTTCGTCACCACCTTATCTTGCTCACACGACACGGAGACATAAAAGGAGATTTTCTGAGAGCAAATGTTTGGATGTGAACCCATAACGGAGCATTCCGGACCACAAGAGGGACCCTCATATAGAGCCCCCCCCCACCACGCCTCTCCCGTGCCGGCGTTCAGATCCGCGGCACATTCAGAGAGGCCAGCTTAGGCGCAATCCCTTACTCGCACTTATCGTCCCGTGCGTGTGGGGGCATCCTTTTCATCTCTGTCACCGTCTGCGTGCTGCCTCACGCCGACCGCCAGGACAACACCGTAGCTTTGTGAATATAATATTTCAGACAAACCTCCCCCACTACCCCCCTCTGTCGCTGTCTGGTTATACATGTCAGGGCTTCTGCCCCTTTGTGCTCAACGATGCCGTGGCAAAAGTTTATTTTAGATGAAAACCGTATGCACAGCCGTTCTTTAAAATAGCTCTTTGCTGTGAATTATAATATAAAGGAATGCTTTTGGTGGGCCTTTTTTGTGGCTTTTGGTATGTTTTTGTTAGAATTTGTTCCCTGCTCTTTAAAGAATACGCTCAATCATGACTCTGTTGAAAGCAAAATTGCAAGACGTTCGAAAATTGCGAAATGAAAAAAAAATATTTTTTTACTTTTTCACACAGTTGCCTCACCATACACCCACCCCAGCTTTCACCCCTCCCCCCCACCCCTTATTTTTGATACACATAGCTTGAATTTTCGTACGAGATCTTTTTTTAGTCTATGGACAAAATGAAATATTAAGATAGAAATCCGATTTTTCCTGATTCCCACTTTTTAACTTGGCCATGAAAATATCCCAGTGGTTCTGTCATCACGAAAAAACATTGAAGTCACCGTGCCCCAGAATAAAAATTGAGAGTGCACATACATGTTCATTACTTTGGACCAATTATACATTTTTGGCAAGAAAAATGTTATCACTGCTACGTGCGGTTAGCAGTGTTGCGGGCTTCAGCTGACCTAACCTCATTTGATTTGTTTATTTATCTCAGTTACAAAATTGTCTGTTCACAAATATACTACCGTTCTCAATGTTTTTCGGAGAGCCAAAAATGGATGTTTTACGTCTTAATCATTCAATCTCAAATAGCATAAACACGACAGTTCGGAGCTCGCATCGGTCGTCTGATCATGTTTGGGTTTAAATGTGCAGCTGTTCTCTTGTAAAGCCCACACTAATCAATGCTGGAGATCTGTGTTTTCAGCATGCAGGCTCACTGGACCTGCCAGGATATTTTTACAGAAGATTGCGGTGATTAAAAAACATCCACGTTGGCTCCGATATATGCCCCGCAGCCCTACGGAGGCCAAAAATGTAATCTGCCAGTAACAAAGTTGGAGTATTGTGCAGTGCGCATAGGCCAAGAGCTTTAACAAGTGTGTTTTTAACTTCTCGACATTGTTTCTATTTGTATCAGTTGGGGGAAATATAAGCAATCAGATGATATATCGCTACTGTGTGTGTATCAGAAGCACAGAAGCCATACGGGGCATGAATGAACCACAGCCCTTTCTCCGGCCACGGGACCCATCGTGAAGATGTAGAATTGTGGTGCTTGATAGGATTCTGGAACAATGTCCAGACCCAAAGAATATGAATTCCTGTAGTCACGAAAGCTTTAAGTCAAGAATGTCCATCCATTTAGGGTTGGAGGCCTATTAAAAGCTAAACATTGGTGTAACTGATAGACCTTAACGTTATTAATAGGATCATAGATATGAACCCACTGCTTGATTAAGGCATTCGGAGCGTTTGACCATACTTCACCACACAGGTTGTCAGTGGTGATTGGTGGACTTTCTCGCCACTGATGTCAGCTATAACTGGGACTAAAACTCAGGCCACCGGGTTCATAGTACACTGCACTATCGCTCCACCCAATGTATTTACCTATAATTTCTTGACAGTGATGTGAAGTGAAGATGACTGCTACAGAGTGACCTTGGCAGATGTAGTGTATGTGAATTAGGAAAGCCTCAAGTTCTTTTTAGGGGTGATTGGCATGTTTGGCTAATTCTTTGTTACGGAACATTTTGCATCACGCTCAAATGGTCCTGAGAGAAAACTCCTAAAGATCGTCCGGCATGGCGTAGCCTTGTTGCGGCCTTATGCTCCACAGGAAGCGCAGAGAAGTAAGTCAAATAACCCATACACACCAGGCGTTGTGGGTCCATTTGCTGTCCTCCCATCTCCTGGTCACGTTGCAGGGCAGGGGGGTTCGAAAGCCTTGCCACAGTTTTGTGCGTGACACTGACTTGAGCCATGCAATGCCCGACGCAATGCCCCGATCCATACACACACGAAGGAGACATCACAGCGACACACTCCGCTGCGCCTTACGCGGCTGTCTGGCTCGACCGCCTGCCGTGTGAGATTGTAATCGCTGCTGACTGGAGCGCATGGCCACACGATGGCACCAGAGACACGGGGCAGTGCCGCCCTACCGCTGTGACCAACACTGCTCTGCTGACCCTCCCATTTGCCCAGTCCACAACGCTGCAGCTGAGGCAAAGCTACATTGCGTCCAAAACAAACCCCCAAAAGCCGCGTAGGTTAAACATCCATTCTAGATTTGAAGCTTTCGTGACTGCAAGTATTCATATTCTTAGGGTTTTTTCGGTAAAAGTCACGTAGGTAAAAAAAAAAAAATCAAAATTAATAAAAGTAGAATAAAAATAAAACAAAAATCACCTCCGAAACGTCGTGATTTTTATTTTACTTTTATTAATTTGGATTTTTTTACCTACGTGACTTTACCGAAAACACCTAAGAATATGTTAAACATCCAGTTGCACGTCATATGACAAATGCGTATTACCACGTGCTACATTCTCCGGATGATGACGCACACTACCTCACAGCCCCCTCCGCTTGAGAACAAACGGTTGTTTGCGACCAGATGTTTATTTTTTTAATGACTTGAATGCTACCGAGCGCAAAGTTGGGGTGCGTCTTGCTTTTCGGAGCGTCTTATAATCGTCAGAATGTGGTGTGAATTGCTGTCCGCGTGGCTGCTGCCTTCGTGCGAGAGGTGTCGCGTTTGACGTTGCGATTGAGCGAGGACGCCTGAGCCATACGTGCATGAGCCCTATTGTGTCTCACGACTCAGCGATGTTGACGGTGCATCCGAATAAAGCTAGAACAAATCTGGTCACACACACGTACACGTACCTGATCGCAGTTTATTGTAGTGCCACATCTCAAAACTAGATATGCGGTGAGTCACCCTGCCAGGTGATTTTAATTAATCGTCATGTTTCAGGGTCAAGATTCGATTCGAAATACAGGATATTATAATGATAAATTATTTTTTCTTTGCTCCGTGGTAAATGTAACAGGGCCTCACTTGCGCAGCACACACTGATTGACAAATGAAGATTCTTCCGGAGTGATTCAATGCATCTATCGTGAGCCGAAAAGTTGATCAATATTATCGACGAATCGACGGATCGTTACACTCCTTAATTTTAACGTGTCTTGTGTGCAATGCTGGCTCA